AAAATTTAAACTTTTAATAAAAATAATAAAATAATTTTATTTATTATTTAAAAATAAATTTATTAATAAAAAATAAACTTTTACCTTATTTTTTTATCGAATAATTTTAATTTTTACTTTATTTCTTATTTAATTTTCTATACATCTTGTCTCTTCTCTTTGCTTCATTTCTTTCTACTTTATCAAACAAAAGCTTCAATAAACACTATGATTAGTCACATTGGACATCCACGATTAAGTCAACTAATAGCATTCACTTATCTCTATATTTGAAGAAGAAAGGAAAATACGAGTCAAAATGAAAAAGAGAAGAGAAGAAATGTGAAAAAGTGTGGGAAAATAGGTAAAAATAGGATAAAAAAATTAAAATAAATATTTGATAAACGAGAAATAAAAGAAAAATAGGATGGAAGTCAATTTTTAAATAATACTTTATCTAAAAATTATAAATAAGAATATTAAATGGATTGGATGAATTGAATGTTATAAAACTTATTCAATTTTATAACATTATTGTTATGGTTAGATTAGATATATATCCACAAAAATAAAATCATTAATGGATGAATTGAATTTTTTTAAATGAATTAGATGAATTAAAATTTTAAGTAAATTTTTAATAAATTTTAATAAATTAATAATATTTTTATTTTATTTATTATCATTCGTCTAAGAAATTTTTAATTCATTTGTATCCTTATATAAAATTAGAGTTAATCACCTATACACTGCTGGTGTAAAGTTATTTTACACCGACAACCAATCAGATCTTTTAATAGTATTATGTCATTTGCTTATTTAATCAAATTAAAATAAAAAAGGCACTATTAAAAGATCTGATTGGTTGTCAGTGTAAAAAAACTTTACACTAGCAATGTATAGGTGATTAACTCATAAAATTAACACAACAATTTTAACGTCAGCTCATCAATTACATATGTCCAACACTATATTTAATATAGAGTTGACTTTTGACCACTCTAAAACTATATTTTCTTATAGTGATTTGTGAAAAAAAAAATTCAATTCAAGGTAGAATTTAATTTGCACATAGATACATTGCATCCTCATTAAAATTTTCAGCTAATGAGTTTCTATAAGGTCAAATTAAAATTTATTAAAATAAAAATAAATTTCATATGAAGTTATAATTCAAGCAATCATGAATCACGATTACATGATTATCGATAGTTATGTAAATTAATTAGCTATGTATTATTTTAGATTAATTAATAGTCATGAATTAAATAAATATTTTGAAGAATTTTTTTGAGACTCATAATAGTCTTATTCACTCTCATATAATATACTTGTGTCTCTATAAACAAAATTAAATTCACATCGTTAAATATATGAAACAATTTAAGTCTCATATGGTGCCTGAAGTTAATTATCATCATACAATTTTCAAATTTTCATTTAATAAATAATTTAATTTTTTCCTAAAGAGTATTTAAGTGAATTTGAATATCAAAAACAAAAAAGTCACAATTTTTTTAACTAAATAAAAAGTATTTTAGAGATAATTTCATTAAATAGAAAAAAATTATTTAAAATTTCTTTATATTTTAAACAAATACACATGATATATGATTTCTTTTTCTTATATTAAGTTCGAAACAACATATTTTAAATTTAATTCATCAAAATAAAATATAAATAATGTAATGATCATTCAAAACTCCCAATTGACTAATTAATTACATGAATTCTTTAAATTCACAACTATAGGTGAATGGGGGACTTTTATGTAATTGTCATTTGGTTTCCTCAAATAAAATATTTGGTGTTGTGATGGCAAGGAGTAAAAGTACTGGTAATCGCAAAATTTAAATTATAAATGAAATGTATCAATTATACACGTGGCAGTCAATCATTGGGCTTAGTGTGTATGGCATGAATTAAAGGTGACTTCAGGAAAGAATGAAACGTATTTGATTGAAATCAACCACTCCTCTCTGATATATATATACACACACTCATTAGATCTATAGAGAGTCACTTTTGTCACTTTGAAATTTGCTTTCTCAACACTTAGACAAGGTAGGTCTCGAAAGGTGCTTCTAGATAGAATTTTGAAGCACGTTTTCTCTTTGATTTCATATGCTTAGATTTTCTCTTCTTGTTCACCATATCTTTATTAGTTAGATTCATCTATATTGTTTTGTAATTCTTAATTTGATGGATTTGATTTAGGATTTTGAAGGAAACTTAAAAATGAGCGACAACGACAATACTCAATATTTGCATAATGAACGTGAGTTTTTCTTTACTCCTTAATATTTGCTGTTCACTTTATATATATTTTAAATCTGGTGCTCGGATATAATTTGTGGATGTACTCAAAATTTTAATAATATTTTTTCTCTACTGATGTGATTCTTATGTTTTTTTTTTGGTACAAGTGTGATTCTTATGTTTAATGATAATAATGAATATATAGACGCGAAATAAAAGAAAATTAAAAATTAAAATTAATATGAAAAAAATAAAATCTCTTATACCAGATCACACAATTAATAAAGATGTTGGGAGAAAATCATCAGGGTTGGCTTAATAGTTAGGGTGGATGTATATAGATTTTGGTTTGATAATCATTGTCTTCATTACAATCTTTCCTGATGATTAAAAATAATGTTGAGGTAGTTCAAACTTCAAAGTGCAAAAAAAAAAAAAAATTTTAATAGCAACAAGGACATTGTCAATAGAATCACGCACTACTACTCAATTTCTTTAAAGTATTAGATATATCAATCATCACTTATATATCATTCATTGAGTCATTTCCTAACCGATTTGAAACTTATTTTGAGCCAAATCTCGTGTTCATTAATGGATGTCACAAATGATAAGAAAGACTACAATATCATACATGCTCGTAGGACCATGGAGCAAATGGCTAATTGTTTGGTTTGGACAAAAAAGTCAATTCTAATAACTCTACAAAAAGGCAAAACGAGAAAAGAACATTTAGGAGATGAAAATTCAAAAACCTCTATTACAACATGCTTGTACTTGGCTTGCCAAGAAGATAGTTTCCCAAGGATTCTAAATGAGTTTCACATTGAAGTTTATGTAGTTAAAATGAAGGACATTCACAAGACCGTGAAGGTGTTTTAAAAGCAACTTGAGGTTGATAACAATTATGATGAGTCCACACATGTTATGAATGTAACTTAACACTTTTGCTTAAATATTGGCCTTAACAACCCTGTCATCAACATTGTGAAAGAAGTGGTACAAAAGTCACAAGTAGGATATAAGGTGGAACCCTACATAAATAATTCTTACTAAAATGAAAGTAGAGTTCTATCTTATTTATATCTCTTATGACTTCTTGACAACTTCTTTCATGACATTGTGACATAATTATTAAGGTGAAGATTGGAACCCAAGCATCAAGTTATATCTATAACATGTGTGGTCGTATCATAATTTCTAGCAACCTTAAGTTGCTTCTTAAACATCTTCATAGCCTTACAATTATCCTTTATTTTCACTCTATTAACAACGTTGTGATTCTTCTTAAGTGTCCTTGGAAAATCATCTTCTTAATAAGTTAAGTACAAGAATGACCCAATAGAGGTCTTTGAGATTCTTTATCTCTTAAATACCTTTCCCTTATTTGTTTTTATTGTCATGGATTTTTTATTATTATCCAAACCAAGTTTAAGTGATTAGTTATATATTCCACCATCTTAAGAGCATGCACGTGATTTTAGTCTCTTACTAAAATAAAAATAAATAAATAAATAGATCATAAGCTATACTAGGACCAAAAAGTTAGAAGAAATTGGAAATAAATATTTAATATTCTCTTATATTATAAATTTCAACAATCACACTTCAATTGAAACATTTTTAAGAGATATTTTTTTCTTATCAAATTATATGGTTTATTTTGTATTGTGCAATTACTTTTATTTATTTGTTTTAATATAATTTTATAATTCCTTTTGAATCCTATAACATAAAATTAATTTAACTTAAGACTTGATATATGATATTGATATAATGATATTTTAATTGGTATTTGTATTGACCAACACATGATTCACATTTACTTTTTTATTTATTTATAAAAATAGTCATTTGACATTATGGATTCGATTTGTCTTATTGTTTGAAGTTGGTTCTCCATCAACTTGTGCTACCAATGAAAAGCTTAAAACTAGAAGTAGATCGGTAAGTGCTTACATGTTTTTGGTGAAATCTGATTAGTTACATACAAGTTCATTTAATAAATGGATGTTGCATTTTTTTATTGTCAATTTTGGTTTAATATATCAAAATTATGTTAAAAGAATATTATATTTTGGATGACAATTTTTCATAATACAGAGGAACCACACAAATATCAAATCTAAATAAGATAAAATATTTTGATTTTCAAGACTCGATAATTCATAGTTTACAACAATTTCTAGACTATAATATACGGGGACTTGCCCCATATTTATCTATAAATGATATAATAAAGCTAAAATTCTACAAATTGTTATTTTAAAGAATCTAAAAATGAAATTGTTCAAAAGTAATTTTTTAATTTACGTATCTAATCAACATGTACTGATTAATTATATTAAATTAAATATATGTTAAAGGAATGATTTTTTTATATTATAAATATAGTGTTTTTATTTTATTTTATATTTGTTTATTTTTATCCCAACATTATTTTTTTTTGTAATTTGTTGTAAATTACTGTTAATTAATTGCAATATGTTTTATATTATGTAAATATAATAGTTTTATTATCGACGAGCATGTGGATCTACCGATACATGGTTGTTTAATCTTAATCGACAATCTGAAGTTCAAGTTACAAGTATGCAATTGTGTAAAATACTGATCATAAGGGGATTTTGTTGTCTATAGTGCTCCCACCCAACTCAAATAGGATCACTTTAAGTGAAAAATGCTTGTGATATATTGCAAAAAGTATAATAGTTTTGATTTTATATCTCAATAAAAATAGAAACTTAGTTTTTATTTAATTTTTTATAAATATGATAGTTTTTATTTTTAGTCTTTACTATCAAGACAAATATCTGAAAAAGTGATAACAAATTACATGAACTAAATAAAAAATTATAAGACAAACACAAACTAATATATTTTTGCAGACTTATAATATATTTAAATCATGTATATATTTCTTTGCATCTGCTTTATTGTCCGCATATAAGTTAAGACCACTTTCAACATTTTTATTATATTTTTCTATCTTGAATATTGATTCATATAATGGATAAATAGTTTTCTTTGTCAACTTCAACTTAATAAAATCATGGCTAATAATTGTCTTATAATTTTTTTTTATAACATGTTAACATTACTGCATTGTTAAAATTATAATTACTTAAATTGTTCATTGTTAATTGTTATTGAGATATATAAACTATTTGAAGCAGAAAGAAATTTTGAAGATTATGGAAGAAAATGAAGATGTTAACAAAGCTCAACAGACACTACCACCAAGGTAAAATAAAAGAAATTTACCTCAATATTTTTAGATAAATAGACAAAGTTAAATTTTAATGAAATTAGATATTTTCTAACATATTAAATTATACATAAATAATAGTTTAACCTTTTTTCTCTCTCTCTCTCTTTTATGGGTGTGTATATTAATTTGTTAAAACTATTTATTTGTAGCAATAGCTCTAAGAAGATTGCAGAAAGGAAAAGGAAAAAAGACCCATCAAAAAAGGTGTCAACTTCAACAAGGAAGAAAAGAAAAACTTCTAATGAGAAGAGTAATTTCTTATGCGTCTAATTTAGCATTTATAATTAATATTAGTTTTAAAAAAATCATCTTTAATATTTATAAATAAAATCTTGTACATATGTGACAATAAATAGATAAAATGAACATAGTAGGCACTTGTTTTAACAAAGCCATTTTCTTCTCTTAGTTTCCCTCATACATAGTTTTACATTCTATCAACTTGTTTCTAAGAATTACACCAACTCTATTATCTAATTATGTTTACATATGCATTTCTACACACACTATGTTCAAAAACCTTTGACATTTCTTGTATAGCTAGGACTAAATCTTATGCAATTAAAACTAACTAGTTAAAGGTCAATAATTAAAATATCAACATAAAAATTCACAACACCTAGAATAACATACCTTTTGTTGATATAAAATGAAAACCTACTTTTAATAACAACCAACATCATCTAACAAATGTTATAGAAACAACTTCAACAAGTATTTGCTGCAAAGACCAATGCACCAATTGCGGTACAATAGAGTTGTAATTCATTAGTTATTTCAAATGCTTTATGTTTTTACTTTCAACAATAGTGATCACAAAAGAATAGTACTAATTGTTGGAATCTCTACCAACTATCATATGTAATACACCTCCAATGGGTGTCTTCAAAAAACACATATCAAGATCTATAAAAGGCCTAAACACATGTAGAAATCCTCACTTTACATCTTTGATACACATATAAAATCTCATAAACATCTTTACATTACCATATGTAGTTGGCTCAGTCAACAACATCGTAGTAGACCTTAGATTAAACCTTTTAACTTCATTAGCATAGTCTTTTAACTTGTTATGTTACTCATTATAATTTTTTCGCACCCTTTCTTTTGTTTAACTTTTTTTTTCTCAATATATCTTTCTTCTAGATATATTCTTGCAATAGTCTTGACTAACTTTTTGAATCACTACATTAATGGATATCTTATACTTCAATGAATAGACAAATTTTCATATATCTACCTTTTTGTGAGATTATTTTTCCTATGTCAATCCTAACACGTGCTAATCTATCAAGGTCTTCATCTTGCTAACAACCTACCTTACTTTTAACAAAATCAGTCTTGTTGAATTTTAACCATTAACCATTCATGCATATTCACTAATAACACCTTTAAATTGTTCAATTGAACCATTTTTGTCCCAAACTCAAATATGAAGTCTATTCCCATTTGTGAAGGACAAAATCTTTTATAAATATCTTTGCTTGACATCTCACAATCATCTTGCAAATCACTTTCCACCTCAAACTCTAATTTATCATTATCTTAATCAGTTGACATCTCACCATGTTTTCAAGTGTACAATTCAAGTCTCCCCCTTTGCCCCTTAGTCACCTTATCAAATCTAATATGCAGTTTCTACTATAATAAAATTTGCGTACAATATCCTTGCCAATTGTCAACTTGTTATCTCATAGGTTATTTCTTACCTTTTGAACTATTTTCTATGACAATACCATCATCCAAAACATTCACCCGTACTTTCAATTATCAATAAAACTCCCTTTGTCTCATGTGAAAAATACATAATAATATACTTCAACCTCTTTCATGTAAATGTTCTTTGTCTCAACGGGTCCCAAAACTAAATCTCATTTTCCTATTATACACAAAAAAGGTTTATATATATATATATATATATATATATATATATATTATTAAA